AAAAAAAGATAGTGTGTATGTACGGCGTAGACTATTCTGTTTCTTTTTTTTCTCTCTTTTTTTTTTAAATTTTCAAGGATCATCAACTAAGTCGTTTTTCGAATCTACTTAGCATTATGAGGCATGTTATTTGATAATGGAATTTATTTTTTTGTTATGTTACATTTGCGCAGATAACAGATTTAAATGCCGATGAACGTCGATATTGACGCAGTTAAATTATTTCTTAAATGAAAAGAAATAAATTATTGATTACTAATAACCATGATAGTCAGATATTTGCAGAAATAATAATACAAACAATTTTTATGATATTCACATATAATTGCAAATATTATTCTAGCAATTTTGAATTGTACCCCCGCCGCTTAAGATTATCTAGATTGCATTTTGAAGAAAACTATTTATCAAAGTTCAAATTATAATGCAATTGTATATTATGTTTATTTTTAAAGTTCTTGTTATATATAAAAGTTACATCACTTATATATTCAAAATTCTCTTCAAAATTATGCTTATATCCGAAATCAAAGAAAGTAGAAATTATGTATCAGTATTAAGTGACGGGGCGTATATATTTATCTGAATAGTAAATTTGGAAAAATAATACAATAGATCGAATATCAAGACGGTGCGAGTATTTTTAATGATAAAAAGCGTCCAAAAAGAAAGAGAAACCGAAAATGTCTGCCGATGGCGCGTGAATTTTATGCCTATATTATAATTTCGATGTCTCAACGCGTACGATTTGATATTCCTGTCTTCGAGATGTGCGATAACGATTTCTCGAAAATCATGGATGATTGCTTGCAAAAGCAAGATGATGATGATGATGATGATGATGATGATGATGATGATGATGACAATTAACACGAAGAAGTTTCAAAACATGTATGTTAATAATATTTCATATATGATACGCGTTCTTTATCTTTATTAAAGCTCAAAGATGGAAAGATCACTGTGTGATTCCTTACAAAATTAGATTTTGATTTGTCTCGAAATTATGAAAAATATCTCTTTGATAATGAGGAATAAAATTGATCGAAAAAAGAAAGATTATATAGCTGTTATAGTTTTCCTCTTCTTCTCTTATAAATAAAATTTTTATAAGATCAGTAAGATCTTTATAATAATAATTATAAAAATGATTCCTAACTTGTTCAGAAAGTGATTGCATTGTATGTCGTTTTGACAGATAAAGAAGAAACAATTATTTTGAATTTCAAATTAGACGCCAATGTAATTCGTGTCAAAAAGAAAGAGGAAGACATGTGATATTGAGATAAGCTGTTGTCTGTAGAATGGATTGGCACGCCAATTGGTCCTCGCATCCTCACAAAGAGTTTTCAAATCTTCGTTCGTTTTTTTCTGTACGACGAAAGTACGTCGCAGAATTTTCAAGACTGCCATTTCATCACATTTCTCGATTTATATCGCGCCAAGAAGTACCCCAAGTACATTTTATGGAGTCAAATCGATCCGATCAAGCTTTGATATGCTTGATTCGATATAAATTCAACAAGAACCAAAGTCGACTTATGGGACGTATCTTCGCTCGCATAGAATTTAAGGACATAACAAAAGGAGGAATCCGCAAAAAAGAAATCGCGAAATCCTTGTTCCTTCTTTCAAAGTTACCGATTTCCGATCACTGTTTAATTTGACCAAAGAAAGAAGCAACTCTAAATAAACTTTTTCAGTATCCATCTAATATATCAACTATATTTTTTATTAGTGTCGTAAAAAATTAAAATTTATTAAAATAGGAAAAAATAATTAAAATTTATGAAATGAAGGTTTTATTTGTATCATTGTGTTTAGTTTGATACTGAAAAAGTTAACTATTTACATTTGAAATAGAAAGAAAAGATACAAAGTATGTATGTAATTTAAAGCTGATGGCATAATGAAAAGTTCAAATAAAATATAGGAGCACGAATTAAAATATTTGCCGATAATAAATTAAAAGAATACAAAAGTAATTTTCATTATTTATACTGTGGTAATACAAAAAAATTGTTGCTAAATACCAAAGCAACGGAATAACCTATAATTATCAATTTTTTATAATGTGAGCAATAAAAAATGGTTAAAAAAGTATTTAATTAGAAAATAAATCTAATTAAAAAATCATCATTTTAATTTCAATACTATCTATTTTGAAGAGCAAAAATTAATCTTACTATAATTGATTAAAAAGGAACATAAAGAATATATTAATCGTGACATACATATATTGACTTTTATATCCGTTATTTAATTTTGTTATTCCTCAATGTTTGTTAATATCAATTTACATTGCTAGTTCCTATATTTCATTGTGTATCAGTCAGTTTTCATTGTGTATCAGTCAGGCGTGCAATCAATTACATGAAAAACGATGAAATAAGCAATCGACCGAAAGGGAGAAAAGAAAGAGAAAACAATTAAACCGACTTTAGTAGATAATTTTAGGAATGAATTTAAAAAACAGATTGACTGATCTCGTCTTTTACTAGACATGTTGATAATGAAATTTTAGTCCTCAGTATGATAGAGATTGAAAAAGAGATAGAGAGATAAGGAATGGACATGGACGCGCGCATGATGTGTGTACGTGTGTATGTGATTGCGTATGTGTTGTTGTTTGTGTGTGAGTGCGTATGTATGTATGTGTGAGAAAAAGAATAACACATATTACTAACACAATAATTACACAGAGATTTACGTTACACGCTTTTAATATAATATTCAAACCTTTCACCTCGCTAATTTAGTCCAAAAAAAGAAATATAGAAATAATAAAGTGGCAAAATGTAAAAACTACATCAAATTACCAGCCTAGCTAAAATTGAGAAAAAAAGACAAGAGAGAGAGAGAGAGAGAGAGAGAGAGAGAGAGAGAGAGAGAGAGAGAGAGAGAGAGAGAGAGAGAGAGAGAGAGAGAGAGAGAGAGAGAGAGAGAGAGAGAG